TCCATGAAAAAGTGGGGGGGAGGATTGGGGGCCGCTCCATAGCTCGCGGTTTTTCTGTGTGTGGAGGGGGCAAGAGCGGTAGGGGAGGTTCTAAAATGGGAAAGAAATACGGAGATTTGCAAATCGTCTCCCACCCGCTCAAACCCTCCGCAAACGTCGACGCACCCGGGTGCCGCAGGGGGTGGTGGTTGGGGAGGGGGGTGCAGCCCCTCCGATCCCCCTCACCGAACACCCCGCAGACTCCGCAGCCGCCCTGGCTGCTTTCCGCAAGCCAAAAGCCTCGATTCCCGCAGCTAGTTTGGTTTGTGCTTAAAACAAAGCAACTGGTTGAATGGGTTGAGGGTTTTTATTTCATTTTTTTTTCCTCCCTCTTCCTAAATAAACTTTAAAGCAAAAATTTCTGGCAGTGTAAAGTTGTACTGGAGTGTATATTTGTAAAACTTCATAGAACTTTCTTTTTAGAGAGCCATGAGGTCTAGAAAACTCAAGTTTAGATTTACTAAAGAGCAGTGTGGTTTTTATGTGAAGTTCTTTATTGAAATTTTAAGTCTTTCTAATATGATGATATGTTATTCCCCGTTTTCCATTTTTTTTTCTGAAAGTCAGCTAAAGTGCTCACCCGTACACCAGTGGTATTGACTGCTCCAAAGCAAAGTTTGCAACTGATGAAAACTATTGTGACATTTTTTATCAAGAATGATTTTTTTTTGAAGAGCTCTCATCTTTTTTTGTGGTACTTGTTCTGGGGACAGTTCCAGGCTCTGAGCTTTGTTAAAATGGAAGGTGTGAGTCTGTGATTGTAAAACTTCGTATTTTTTTAAGATTTTCTTGCACAGCAGAGGAATTCCACTCTGGTTCTAGTGAGTTGCTTGACTGACAGTATGAATGATAATTAGAAAGCAGTGCATATCAAAAGGAAGTGTGGAAGAGACTGCCCAACTCGGAAACTGGTTCACTCTCTGCTTTCTCCTTCTCTTAAATACTAGAGAGCAAAATACTAGACAGCAGTGCATGTAATCAATTCAATAAAGCTGTGGGATTTTCATTGCAACCTTTTTTCTCGATTTAGAACAATAAAGGGCAATTTTATGTCTGTACTTAATTAAGTTGCTGTACATCTTATGTTGAAACACTGCATAGCCATAATTAAAGTGAGAATGCAGATTCATCTTTTTTTTCTCATACTTGTTTTTTGTTTCGTTGGTTTGTTTTGTTGTTGTTGTTAAGTGGAAGTCTTTGCATCTGATCCTTTGTAGTTACTTGATGTCAGTACTGTGCTGTAGATCAAACCATTCTGTAAGGAAAGGTAGGCATTTAGGTCTCTGGAGGGTTGCTGTTTAAATTTATGTATAAGTCAGGATATGAATCTGTAGGAATTTTTTTTCAGCTGATGCTAACTTTATGTCATTAAGCACAGCCTCTTGTGACTTTTTTTCTCATACACTATAAACTGTTTATTTAAGTGGTGCTTCATATTTTTATGAGCACGAATTCTGGATCGCCATAGTGCTGTAATGCTGAAATAAGGTAGGAGTGTTTTGCACTTCTTTGAATGGAGAACATGAAGATAAGTTTAGGGGCATAGTTTTGCATGTGGATACTTCCTTTTGCTTTTAGAATGACAATGTTGAAGATTACTAGAAAAAATTGACAGGATTTTGATGAAACTCATATATTTTAAGCACAAGTGTAAATAACACTATTTAGTCATTATGTTTATTTCATAATGCATAGTTCTAGGCAGAAGCACTTAGTTTGCCATAATTGAGGCATTTTTTTGTCCCTTGGGGAAAAAATCCTCTAGAAAGTCATATTCCTCCAAATATTATAAAATGTGCCATTAAGCTTCTGCCAATTAATAGTTTCATATAGAGGTGTGCAGAAGTAGTCAGTAAATTGGCTTACATACTCTTAACAAGTGAATCCTGAAATACAACTGTGTCAGATATTTTTAAAGGGAGATTAATTTTGTATGCTCAGCTATTCAAAAGGTGCATCAGAATATGTTAGTACAGTTCGGATATACCGGACGTTTGTACCTCTGTATCCCATGTGGCTATTTCATAATCATTTAATCAGATTCTTAAGTGTTGCTGTCATTCTTAGGCTTCTGGGTGTGTTCGGAGTATATTTAAAATCTAAGATATTTTTTCTTCAGACAAACTGGTAGTAAACCTGTTGTATCACTACAGGTTCTGTGTGACACTACAGATATGAGCTGATTGACACTAGATAAAATTGAAACCATTTTTCAAATAAGACATTTAAAAATTCTTCTTTTACAAAAGGAAGATTTGACAAGTATTTCCCTGTTCAGAAATAGTAGTCCTCTGTAGGAACCTTATGAGCAGTTGTTTCAGTCACTTTTTTATCCTCTTTTACTAGAATGAATGAATGGATTACTGTAAAGACTTCATCTATAAATCTTGTTTAAAAAAATATAACAGAAGAAAGGATACCGAGGCAGAATGAATCATTTATGCTTGTTTTGTTCTTTAACTGTTAGTCTGCTTTCAAATTAACTTACTACCACTCTAAATATACCCTGAATTGGTTGAAGTAAAAACCAGTAGTGTTACTATTTGGAAAAAGCTGAACGAACTCATAAGCTGCTCATCCTTACCCAAGCTTGTATCTGGCCTGACAACCAGAATAACTGGAACTCAGAATACAGTGTGCAATTTGACTCCGTGAAATCCTGCACTGCAAACTCCCTTCTTTATAGCTGGCTTGCAGCATTGCTCCCTGTCACGGGAGTAGTTCAGTGTTCCCTTAAGCCGGCACTCCTTCTGGAATAAAACAGTCTGTAGCCACTTATTCCTGCACTGCTTTTACATTGCATTGCCTAAAGTTTGTGGGTAACGTAGATTAGGAATTTATCTGCCTGAAAAATAATCTTAAAAAAATGGTTATTATCCAGCTAGATGAGTTTCTTGTGTTGGCTTCCTTGCGTCCATGTGTATGTTTCCAACATGTGTCCTTACTGGCAGGATCAAGTAGTTGCAGGGAGGACAGTGTGGATTTTTCTGTCAAGTTCCTGAAAAACACTGAAATAGTTGTGTCTGGGAGGTGGCACCCTAAGCACAAAATGGAAAGATGCTCTGGACAAGCGCTACCACTGGATGAGTTTGGAGAGGTGTTCGAGTGCATCATCATATTGTCATAGCTGCTGCTTCTCACTTATCCTGCTGGGTCCTGCTTTTGTGTTTTAAAGGGGTAAAGCAACTGTTTTTTTCATATCCTCCTTTCCGCCACCAGTTTCCTTTTTTTTTTTTTTTTTTTTCCTTTCAGAATCCCTTATTCTTTGTTCAGAGTTGGTTGTTTGGCCGCCTGCTAGAGCACCTGCCCCTGTAGAGAGAAGCTTTTCTGGCCTTCCGTGATCTCGGGCTGCAAAAGTAGCAGCTAGTTTGGGTGGCCAGGAGGTATCATTTGTCTTTCTAAAATGTGAATGATAAATCCACACAGAGTAGCATGATCGTGGGCTGGTTGACTTAAAAAGGAAGTCTGGAAAAACTGACATAGAGCTTAAATTTGAATGCCAACGTTCAAATAAAAGAATAAAAATGCTACAGTTTTTCTGAGTCAATGCTGTTCTGTGAATTTTAGCTTATAGCACTGGTTCAGAAAATGGACCCATCCATTTGCATATTAACAAGTCTAGTTTTTGTAGGCAGTTGCCTACAACCGTTTCCATTCATGTAGCTATTTAAATATTTGTAAGTTAAAGTGGAGTTCTGCTATAGGTAAACTTGGCTTTTGAGTTTCTGTTTATTGATATGCCTGCAATGTGCTGTGTCGTACAAAACAGACAGATCTGTTGTAATAGAACTTGCTGGCCTTGGGCCATTGGATTATAGTCATTTGTCACTCTAATGCCATTTCAGCAATGTAGATGCTCATTTCCAAAGAATTAAACATGCTACAACTGCATTTTTTCCTTTTTAGTAGAAGTATTTTATGTGTTATCATTAAGCATACAACTTGGGATTATGGAACAAAAGGCTATGCTTCATGATGAAAAAAATGCATGTGAAGATGTGTGTGGGTACATATAGCAACACTCTATAATAGAATAGTCTGCTATTTTATAATTGCGATTATAAACCCTGTTTTTTGTTTTGCGATACTGTAATTTCGAGGTTAAGACTATTTATACTAGATAATATTCCCAATAACAATGAATTCTTAACTGTATTTGTTTTTCCTATAAATCACTGTAAATAATTTTTCAAGATTAGCGCTTTTGAGAATGCATCCATTAGCACCCAGGAGAACAGAACTTTCAGGTATGTTATTCTTTTTAACTTCGTATTTGAGTCTTAATACCCAATCTAATTGCATGTCCCTGATGCTTTAAATACTTATAAGACCTTTCTTTTCCCCTTGTTTGACATCACAAAATCTTTAGCACATGCTGCAAACTCTTTTTTTTTAATCTGTAATTAGGTGGGAGGTAGTATAAATCACAGTAGCCCTGGCATAGTGATTGCATTGGGCTTATTTAAAGCGTACACCTTACAGAAAAGTACCATATGTTTTATTTAAAAGTAGGAAAGAGATCTCCAATTCTTCTGATAGTTACAAAAATTACTGCAGTAGAAACTAAAATAACACGATTTGGGGACTATTGCTGTTTATAGAATCGTGTATGAATTCCCATCCTCATATGTAAGAGTTCTAAAAGAAGTGGTTTATGTGATTTTCCTTGGAATTCCGTAATCTAAGGCAGGCAGGCATGTGGAACAACTTTCCAGTTGGTGTTAACATTACATTCAATGAAAATCATCAGGAATTCTCCAGCTGTCTTATTTTGATAAAGGGAGTGCTGATTGCTTTGAGCGGGAAGAGGTAGAATGTCCTACCTATAAGAAACTCTACATCATCTCTGTAAATATCATGAGAAAGGATCTCTTATTTTTGAAGTCTTTTATTAAACTCCTCTTATTTTTGTTTTGTTTGAACTAACCTGAACATACTAGCAGAAATAGAAACATTACATTCCCTCACTCCATTCTGTTTCATACAACATGTTGAGCTTACAGTAGATACTTTACAAGTATCCTGCCTCATTTTTTCCATGAAGTTCCAGGTTAGCAGTGTAAATTAGAATACAAAAATCATACTTTCTCATTGCAAAGAAAGTGAAGGCATTTGTCATGAAAGCAGTTTATTATATTTGAGTGGTATTCTTGTGCAGGTAGATCCTTATACTGTTAAGAAAATGTTCTCCTTTTCATGAGGATTTAACAGTTTTGTCGTA